TTCCGCTATGTGGTTGCCCGTTACATTGCGCGCAAGTCCAATGTCGTAAATAAATATGTCGCGAATGAGTCGATAAAGAAATTAGCTAGGTCCCAAGATTAAGTGTGTTCGCACCGAAATTTGTGACAAATTAAAAATAAGTGGTATGCAGAAATTTACTAAAAGGCTGAAAAGTACACCAATTTTTTTTCTATTAGCCGCAACAAAATGGAATCGCTGAAAGGCTTAACAGAACGCTGTATGAACGACCGGGCTTGATGTTTAATTTCATGCAAGCTGAGAAGAAGTGATAGGTCGAGGCAATGAATACTGCAGTATATGTAACTAATACAGTCACGTGCGCTTCTTTGCTTCTTTTTTAGCCAAAAATTTAGTCGAGGATTGTTTTGGAATATAGCCAGACCTGTCTTACATCCGAGTGTTTAGTTTAAGCGGTTGCTCTCACATTGCAAAGCCAAAATGTCTCGAAATGGACAAAAGGCATTTCGTGGCATGTTTTTGGGGTGAACACATGACGTCTAGGGACAGTGGGTTTAGAATTTTGACTTTAATAAACTGTAGCTCACGAGATCAGTGACTTTACAAGAGCTGCCAAAGTCTACGTATTTTCAAGTAATCGGAGACATACCTGCTACTGCACGTGTTAATTAAGAAGATGATCACGCTGCGGACATTGTGCGATTACCTGTCACGGCTACTTAAAGTGACGCTTAACCGATGATTGTGGATCAGGTTGGTACCGATCAAACAATTTAAATACTAAGTAAATTTAAGTTTTTGAATCCATCTTAGAACTTTGAATGTGTCTCCGATCCTTCTTTTATATTTATGATGAATACGTGGATCCAATCGATCTTAATGTGAATGCGACATGAAGGACAAGGGGACTTAGGGGACTTAGTGGGGACTTAAATCATTTAAAAAAAATGTAGGCATCCAATCATCTTAACATGGTTAACAAAACACCACTCTTGCGCTACCACCATCTAACTATGAATTTCAAGCTTTGGCTTCAACCGTAATGTAAAATACACTTTCTACGTCTTTTAGGTTTGAACTCGAGGATCGTGCGTTAAAAGATTTTGCATAGAGCATAAGCAACAAAATGCAGCGCTCGAAGCTTCATCGACATACCAAGATGCATTAGCGCCCCCTCTAGATGTTAATTGATGCGATCAAGACCTTATTGAAGACAATTTAACAAAAAAGACATGGACAGCAGTGGAGAAATCTCCAAAAAAAAGTGATTGGAACATCAAGGCGTCAACATGCATCCAAATAATGTTTTAAAATTTAATTGAAGCCTGTGCGGAATAAAACAAGTTTCTGCAAGGTGGTTCAGGACGATTCAAGATTTTTAAGAACAAGGGTTCGTAGCATGTGCTTCGGATACGTGTGTTAGTTTGTTACGATGAAAATGCATCACAGATCTACGTGACATTGTATAAGACGACATACTTATTGGTATTTTTTTAGACTCTACCGAGCAAGCTGCTGATGAGATGTCGAGTTATTTTAATTTCGATTAAAGACACTGGACAAAGTGCCATTTTTTTTCGGTATCGAAGTGGAATACGAGACGGCGCGAAACAGCTTAAGATATGTAAGAGCGCATGCATTACCAGAATAATTATTATGTTTTGCCAAGTCGATGCAAAAACGGCCCATAATCCGAGAGTGAAAGGCCACATCATGGTTAAGTGCGAAAGAAAGGAACCAAGAAAGGAGAATCGCCCATTTCGATCTCTTGTGAAGCCACTTCTATACGTTGCAGCTGTAACAAGACCCGACATTGCGTTAGAAGTGTGTCAATCGAGTCGTTACCTGGATAATCTAAGTGAAATGGACTGGAATGTGGCTATTTGCGTGCTTCGTGACATGAGGTCGACTTTAACAAGTGTTATTTGCTATCGGAGAAAGCCTGAAGTGCGCAAAATTAGTGCATTAAGTGATGCTGACACTAAATCGACTAATCTTGCGCACTTAATGTCGAACGCCAGTTGCATATGTTACTACGTTAGTAAAATAAGCAACTGGCGTTCGACATTAAGCGTGATGATGATGACTAACATCTCTCCTGTCATATTTAAGTCGAAGCTACAACACAGCGTGTCTCCAAGTTCTGCGGAAGCCGAACGTGTGGACTGTATTTGTGCATTCATGAAATGTTTTAGTCAAAAAGTCTGTTAAAGGAGATGAAGGTCAGTTTTGATGGTACAGTAGTTGTGTACGAAGACAATAAAAATGTGAGTACGATCGCAAAAAAATTAAGGGTTATCGCAGTCTTGAAAAGCACATTGCTGTACCCTATCACTTTGTACTTAATCAAGTCAAGAACAAGTTCATGCAGCAGGAGTATATTAACACCAAGTTACAACTTGCTGATTTCCTTATTTATGCGAATTTGATAAAGAAGTTTCACTTCATCGTGGCCAAGGACAAAATACACTAATCGTCCAGGAGGAGTTTTGTAGTTGGGACATCAGGCGACGGTTCTTCGTCGTACTGATGTGACGGTCACTGTCGCGAGTGACACAAGTTGAAGAGTGATGCAAGAATTAAATTAGTCTGATCGGATACACCCATAGGAGTTATATGAGAATGAGATTGTTTTTATTCTTCCATAAACTAAAGTCTTCTTTAAGTGTGGTGTCTAATCCTTCGTTTAATCATAGCCTATAGTACTAAACCTCATCAAACTACCTAATCCTAACTTTAAACTAATTCTTATAGTAATCTTCGCCCAATAAAGATTGATGTACCGTACTAATTATCATAGATTAATTTTGGGATTGGTTATCACGGACACAAGTCATATCCCATAATGACGGTAATTGTAGCGTAAACCCGTTACAAAAGAGCCTTAAACTGGAGAAGTCTAGCTTATTCTCTAGCATCTAAATAATTTGGCTGTGCATGAAATACATTAGTTTGGTTTTCCGGGCGATGGGCTCGACTTGAAATCATACCTTGTTGTGAATCTTGACTATATATTCTGTAGTATTCATGTAGTAATGTAACCAAAATTGATATTTGGATCGAGTTTTATTCAATATGGGACGCGGCCAGATAAGCGTTATTTAATATTGAGGTCTTTGCAAATTTTAGTTTTCTTCAGTATACAAGAAATAGGACATTCGAGCTCATGTATAGAGCTAATTTATAGGACGCCGAGAGACCGAGCGAAATCTTGACGGACCTCATTTTCGTTTATCAACGTAATTTGGTTAATCTAGTTTTTCGGAATGCGTCATGTGCTATAAAACACTGGTAGTGCGAGCTAATGTAGGTAACGAAGGTCCGAGACAGGCCAGAGCATTCAATTGTCGATTGTTAAATATGCATTACTATTTTCCACGGAATTAAAATTTAGTCTGAAAGGTGTTGCGTACAAGGTCCGCAATAATCTGGTTTGAAGATTTGATTACGGGGATACAAAGAATTTTGGCACTACCCGATCGATCTCTAGTATATTAATGTGATATTCATATCGACCGTACTCTCCACCGACGATGTTGTGTTGAAATTGAAGCAGTCAAAATAGAATGGATATACAGAGGATTTTTGGACCAAAAAGTCAGCGTGACGCAGCAAAATTAATGCTAAAAAGAGATGATATGGTGCTCGACAAATCTTTTTATTTAAAAGCAATTTCAATATTAATCGAATATATACAGTGTAAAATGTTAGCACTATTATTTGCTTGCAGGTCACGCAATACGAAGAGTCCTACAAATCTAATTGGCTAGGCACAGTCATTATCAAATACTTATAATGCTATATAATTTATGTTGCATTCCTTTGTCTACAAACGCCGCATGTTTTCTCTCCCAAGTGAGACGTCGTTGGCACCTATAAAAATCATACGCACGCGCAAACTTATGTTATATATATCAAAACAAAATGCATTTAGGTAAATTTGTAGAGATTACTACACAGAATTAAAATTTCAGCACCTAATTTTGTGCGATTTTATTATTTGAGTAAGACGTCAAGCAGAGATCAGTCAATTTGGACTGACGACTACACAAGGTAATCACAAGGCATCAATGAACACATGGAACGTAGTCTCTTTTATTTAGGGGTAGCCGTTACATGATATTGACACCAAATGGTGTCAATAGGGACATTGTCTAGCGTGACAATTCCCTGCTAACATTGTCCGAGATGGATAATATTGAAGGTACATTTTTCCCTTTTAGGATAATTTTCATGCGCTACTCAAAGATTGGTTGATAAAGACACATCAACCAAGGTTACCACCAATCGCAGCGAGACGCGCAACGAGTGGTGAACCGATTGTCTCCATACGACAATGTAAATTAACATAGTTTGATAAAGACTGAAGTTATATTAATAGCTGAACAATATTAAGTACAGTTCTCTTTTTACCCTGTACTCGTCTTAGTCGTTGTGGAAACTAGCATCCTCTGCACGTACTAATGTACGTGAGGTTTCGCGGCACCCCAACCAAAGGGTGCCCCGTTACACTTGGTAGCACTTTGTAGTCCGTCCAACGACTACTTAGTTTCCGTTTAACATGAAGATGTTGGACGTTTAAGAAGACAGCCTTCACGTCACACGTGAAGGCTACTCCCATCTGAATGGCTTAGAATGGGAGGTAGTCGGCCGCATGTGTGTGCTCCTGGGCAACCCGCCACCAGTGGTATGTTGGAGTCACTAAGCAGAGACAAGCAGCATGCTGCTATCAGCAAGTTTTTACAAAGGAAACTTTCCGCAGAAAGACTGAAGATAGTCTTGCTACAACAGCAAGGCTATCATCAGTCGATGGGCGGGCCGACGCACATGCGTCGACCCGAAACCTTGAAGATTGATATCTCAAGGTACAAGGGGGTAGATGAAGATTTCCTTTTGAGATGGTTCGTCGAGTTAGACGACGCCATCAGGGTCCGTCACATCGAGGGTGACGAGATGCAAGTCACCTTCGCCTTGTCAAATTTGACGGGACAAGTAAAGACTTGGGCCTTAGGGCTCAAGCTTCACGACCCAAACGTGTTTGAGTCGTTGGAGATCTTGAAGTCTCGGCTTAAAGGACGTTTGAGCCGCCGAGAGCCGAGTTCAGAGAACGCTCTGCACTCTTGAGGCTCAAGCAAGGTAAGCGTGATGTGCATGATGATGCGCAACACCTCCGCTACCTTGCGAGTAGCGTCACGGAAAACCCTGTTGATGAGCACACGCTCTTCAACGTGTTCATCTACGGCCTTGTAGATGGACCGGTGAAGACCTACATGTTCCGAGAGGGCTTCCATACGCTGGAAAAGGCGATAGCGAATGTGGAACAAGAAGACTTCAGCCTGAGACAGTCTCAGGAAAACCCGTCAGACTTTTGTCCGAAGGGACGAAAGGAAATTGGAAATCCCGAACCATTGGACCACTGTTACATCGAGAGCCAGAACTCTCGCTCTTTGAGTCACAAGTGAGCGGCAAGATGCCATCGCTGTCAGAAGATCGAGCACTACGATCATGAGTGTAGTGTCCCAAGCACCGCATCACGTCCAAAAACAGGACGTGATGACCGCCGTTGGCCAATGAAAGGTCCAAGGCGCGGATTCGACCATTTCGTCAAGCCGCGACAGCAAGTCGAACCGTCAAAAATCGGACAGGGTCAGTAAAGGCGGAGAACCCTGCTGATCCAGCAACGTCAACAGAATTTGCAGGACTATTGACAAAGATTGCTCCCAACACACAGTCGCTGTGTGGTACTGCCCCCAGTGATGAGGAGTCTCTCATCACTTTGAAGATTGAAGTGACAAGGGGAATGTCACTTCGCGCCCTAGCTGACTGTGGGGCGTCGAACTGTTTCATTCGACGCCAGTCTCTAGAGGATAGTAGGCACAACTATGTTGAGCGAGAGTTCCATCTAACGATGATGACGGTGTGCCTTGCTACAGGCGCATTTGTAACAGTAAAAAAGCGTGTAGTGAGAATCCACTGCACGCTAGAAGGAAAGCAGTACGATGATGACTTCTTTTTACTAGATTTAGATGACAAATTTGATGTCACCCTCGGTCTGCAAGGGCTTAGAAAGTGCCAGCCATGAATCATCTGGCAGAATCGATCCGTGAAGATGCCTGCCGTTTTTTCACCAGATGGCCATCTGATGAACGTCTTGGAGCGTCCACAAGATTTTGGATGTACTATGAGTGAATGCGATAACCTCACTTTTGGTACGGTCGTTAGTACGACTGCACAATATCACAGTGTAGAAGGCCACTACACTGAGGAACCAGCTTCAGGCACCTGTGTAGAGACATAAGCTGAGCCTAAGGTTCACCACTCGAAGAGGTCGAGTGGACTGGAACACGGATGCACACCAAGAAGGGTGCATTCGAGAAAAGAGATGAGTGTTCCTCAGGATGAACAACACGTTGAAGCGAGATCAACTATCAGAGAGTCGATCGTAGAACAAGCCCAATCTACTGAAAGAGAGTCGATCGAAGAGGAAGTGAATGTGATAGTACACCCACAGTCAGTACACGTATTGGTAGAAAGCTTTAGCGTTCCTGATAGCAATAACTCCCGAGAGAGTTATGTTGAGGGTGTGGATCCCCAACCACCTGCTGACGTGCTTACCAGGAAATCACCGAAACAGTGAATGTCTTGGTGAATGACGGATCACGTGTAGGCGCTTATACACTTGATCTGGTTACGCCCCCGAAGTCAGCATCGGAGGTGGTCAAGTTGCCAACGCTAGAATCTAAAATTTTCTTGCGAGATCTGCGTAGTGACAAGATCAAGCATATCTGCGTACTCGTCACAGAGGACAAGTACGTCGCCGATATTCGGTCAGCAACAGTGTTCAATGAGAACGAAAGGGTTCTCAGTAGTTCATCTATGGAAGAAAGTGTCCTCGATGAAAAGACCCGGATTGAGCGATACACGTCTCAATCTTGGTATTCTTTAAAGACGAATCTTTTGCATAGGAATTTGGTTGAATTCAGGGATGTATTTCCTAAATTCGTGCCATGCGAGTTTCCTGAGGATGATGACACTCGGCATGAGATCGAACTAAAACATGGTTCGAGATACTGTGTCATGAAGCAGTGGCCATTGCATCGTTAACAGGTAACAGAGATCGACAAGTTCTTTGCCGATCGATTAGCGGCTGATCATGTGAGGGAATCAACATCTTCACACAGCTCTCCGACCTTCTGTGTGCGAAAGGCCACAGGAGGGTGGCGGATAGTGCACGCGTTCAACAAATTGAATGCTGCAACGGTACCGGCTCAAACGCCGATTCCGAGAAAGGACGTCATCATAGATGGTATGGCAAAGCGCACCATCTTTTCATCCATGGATCTGATGGATGGATTCTATCCGATCTTCATGCTTGAACGGGATAACCCTTACACAGCAGTGAACAACCCCAGTGGTACGCTCTGGGAATGGCTAGTAATGCCACAGGGGCTAATTAACGCCCCTGCAACGTTTAACAGATGTGTTACGAATCTGTTGCGATCGGTGCGCGACTTTGCACCGAGTTACTTTGACGATGTCTTCGTCCATAGCCGGGCTATGGATGGAAAGACGGACGTGTATGTAGATAGAATACACGTCCGAAAGGTTCTTACAATTACGCGTGAGCATCAGTTGTTCGCGAACCTCAAGAAGTGTATATTCGCAGCGAACGAAATACCACTCTTTGGCTGCATCGTGGGTAAAAACGGTGTACGCCCTGATCCAGAAAAGATCAAGGCGATTAGTGACTGGCCTGTTCTAGTCGACGCCAAGGAGCTTCGAAAGTTCCTTGGCTTAGCGGCGTGCTTAAAGAACTCGCGCAAATACGCCGAGATAACCGTTCATCTCTCTCGTCTGTTGAAGAAAAACGAGAGGTGGTCGTGGAGTGCTGAGTTTCAGCACGCTTTCGAAGGTATCAAAATAAGCTTGACACAATCGCCTGTTTTGGCGATTGCGGACCAGGACAGACCATTTCACGTGGTTTGGGACGCCAGTGATTTTTAGATCGACTGCGCGTTAATGCAGTACGACTCAGACGGCATTTAGCGCGTCGTCTGCTACCACTCGCATCAGCTGCAAGCAGCTGAGCGTAACTACCCAGTGCATGTCAATAAACTCCTTTCCATGAATGTGTACCGGCTAAATTTCGGGTGTATCGCTTAGGAGATAGGACCTTCATCGTTTACACCGACCATGCGTCATTACGCACAGCCGTAAACATTCCACACCTCTTGCAACATATAGCGAGGTGGCTGTCTTTCTTCTCAGATTACAACTTCTCCGTCGAGTGTAAAACAGGACGACTAAATGTCGTCGCTGATGCTCTTTCGCGTCGGCCCGATTTCGAGCCGACTGCTCAGCCCAACAGTAGGGGTTATCCCACTGCCGCAACACTATCAGTGAGTGTTCCTTCGTCGAATCTTCTCGACGACGTGCGTAAAGCATACGCGGAAGATGAGTCTCTTCTGCGATTGATGGAGTACGTGTCTAATCCATGCAGCCAAGCTTAGAAAAGCTTGACGTCTCATTACCGCTCTTCAACGGAACGGTATTCGGTTCGTGATGGACTGCTGTACTGTACAGCATTCAACGGCGACACGCCTCGTGTCGTCGTTCCCGCTAATGATGGTATTTGAGTGCGCATCATGTGTGAGTGTCACGATTCCCCAACAAGTGGTCATCGCGGTAGAAAAAAGACTTATCTCGCGGTAAGTCGTGAACTCTACTGTCCACGCCAGTATAAGTTTGTGAGCAAATACATTCGCACTTGCAAAGTTTGCCAACGATTGAAGCCTAGTCCTTCATCCTGTGCATTCTTGCAGCCTCTACCGATTCCGGCAGAGTGCTGGCAGTCCGTATCGATGGAATTTGTTGTTGGGTTTCCCAAAGACGCTTACAAGAATACTGGTATTCTTGTGTTTGTTGACCGATTTAGCAAGATCATACATCTTGTTGATGTACCGGAGTCAATCACAGCCCAGGTATGTGCTCGTGTCTTCATCACTACTACCTTCCGACTTCACGGGTTACCTTGTGAACGCGTGTCGGATAGGGACCCCCGCACCACAGCGGAGTTCCGGCAATCCGTGTTCCGTTCACTTAAAACACATTTGAAGATGTCGACTTCTGACCATCCCGAAACAGATGGTCAGATGGAACGCGTGAACCGCGTCTTTGAAGAGATACTTCGAGGGTACGTCCACTCGTTTACGAGTTGGAGCGACTTCTTGCCGATGGCAGAATTCGCCGTCAACAACTCGGTGCATGCGTCGACAACGCATACACCGTTCTTCGTGAATGGCCTACGCCATCCACTTTTACCCTCCTTCTTAGACTGTGACTCTAGTTTAGGTTGGACTCTCTCGAACAAAAACTGATCTGGTTCTTGCTCATCTCACGTCGACAATGGTGTCGACGTGATAGATGCCGATGTTGATCACATCAACATCGATGATGATGATGACGACGATGCTGGTATATTCAGCATCGATGATGATGATGATGACGACGATGCTGGTACATTCATCATCGACAACAACTGCCACACTGAGGACGATGACGCCCTCACTGGTGAAGACAACTTTCTTTCAGCAGTGCACACGAAGCGCACTGCTGTTAACAAGGATGAATCAGCAGAGGAATTTCTACTGAATCGCGAAGCGGTTGTCCGCTTCGTTCGTAATTCTATTGCAGATGCAATATACAAGCAGAAAAGAAACGCAGACAAACATGGAAGAGCAAACGTTCTTTCATTTATTGAAGGAGAATTAGCTTTACCATCGCCAGTAAATCTACCAAAACACGCAGTGACATATGTGGACAGGAGCAAACTACTTCCCAGGTACATCGGTTCATTTCGTGTGTTGCGCCGCATGGGCAAAGCATACACGATTGAACTAACTCGTAGAATGCGTACGCATCCTAAGTTTTACGTTGGGCGTCTCCGCCCGTACTATCAGTACGAGGTCGCTTCGAGAGGCGAAGAACAGCTCCGCGGTCAAGGGCCGAGACCACCTCCGAGTGGTCCCGTTTCAACGAGCCAGTATGGTCGACTATCGAAGCGACCTGCTCACGCAGTTGATCAATGTCCTGACGAGCCGCAGTCAGCTCGTCACGAAGAGAACGAACCGGACGTTTGCTCTTAAGTTACGCGAGCGCAAACGTGGTACGATCATTCGAACGATCGTGCACTAAGGAATTGTAATTATCATTTACAAGGCCATAACGCTCTTAACGCGAATCCGTTCATGAGACAAGTCATCGTGTAACTGTTCCGTTACACGGTTCAGTTTCTGAACATCAATATGATCCGACCCTCGAGCCGGATCAGGTGTTCCCGCCACCACCACATCCTTTGGTTATTTCTGGCGGAGTTCAACGCTTTCTGGTGGAGCGCATTTTGAACCACCGCGACGAGAATGGCGTCCGGACGAGTTACCGCGTCCGCTGGCGTGGCTATACACCTGCCTGGGACAGCTGGGAGCCTCGTGCTCAGCTGATCGTTGATGTTCCGGGTCTCGTCGAGAAATATG